GGGCCGCATCGTCGACGCATCGCCGATGCGGCGCGGTCCCCCCCTAGTCACCACCCCCCTCTTTGCCGCCCCCGCCCAACAGGCAGCTGCGGCCGACAAACACACCACGGGCGGGTCCTGAGCCCCCCTGGGCCCAATCACCCACCGTCCTTGCCAGGAACGGCAGGCGACAGCGACGACGCTCACGGCGACGTCGGCGACGAGGAAGACCGCGAAGGCTGCGACGACGACGACGACGACCGACCGACGACCGGCGACGGCGACCACGGCGACCGCGACGACCACGACGAAAACGACATGCGTTTTCGTCACATCGCCGGCAACTGCTTAGCTCTCGCTCCTCCGCCGAAACATCATCAGCATCCTCGCTCGCCCTTTCCTGCTGATCCTCCTGATCCCCCCCTTCCGGATTCCCTCCTTTTTCGCCTTTTCATCTTATTTTCCCTTGGGTTCTCCCCCCTAGTCTCCCAGGGTAGCCACAACCGACCACGGCGGCCGTCTGGGTGCCGCTACATGTATCAGGGGCCGCGCGCTTCCCATTCGACCTGCCCGAGCGGCACAAATTGCCGACGCCATACGGCAATTGCCGCCAAAACGATCGGATCACGCCCGAACAGGTTCGACATCCACACAGCCGGGAAACAATTATAACAAAATCAACGATGAGATCATTATGAACGACCAGCAAACGGCAACGCCCACAAAGGATCATTATGTGAGATTCGCCTTTCAATGTTGGCACCGTGCGCAACCGAGCACCATGGGCCAGGTCATTGACATGCCACACTTTGGCTTGCGCGCCCAGTGGCAACATTGGGAGGCGGACGCCACTTGATGCCCGGGTGCTCTTGCAAATTCATCCTTCACTGGGCCGCTGGCGCGGGCGGTTCCACGTTCTGCCCTGCGTTTTTTCACCACCAGCCGGACGGCTAACATGCAACGCGCGATGCAAACGAGACGCTTTTCCGTAACACTGGCGGGCGGGTGCCATTTGATGCGACGGGCCCCGCCTAGTCAGATTCACCATGTGTTCGGCTTCCATCCCTGTGCCATTTTCGTTTCAAAGACTTGTTTCGCGGGGGTGTAATACACGGCGGCATATAAAATTTTCGAGAAACAAGAATTTGAAACTCCATGCTCGAATCTTGGCGCGCAAAAAGAAAAAAAACAGCAACCACATACACTGTTGGAAATTCTCGGCGCGGCACAACTGGTGGAAACCACCTGGGGGTTGGAAAATTCCCGCAAACGCCAGCCCATCTCCGATGTGGGATAAGCGGGGGCAACGATGTGGAGCACGCAACGGGATACCTTCGGATATTTCGAACGTGTCGCCACGTTTCCGATTACCCCGCGTGGCGGCGCGCCCACCGCGGGCGTCCAAACGGGGGGCGCCATCTTGGGACCCTGGTAGAGCGTCTTCGAACCCCTTTAGGCTGGGACACGATTAGGAATGTCTCCAATGTGTTTCGTTATGGTTATGTATGTATTCACACATGTACGCATACATAATTATGCATACACGTGTGTGCGTGTATGTACAGAAAAATGGAGATGTGTGCGAACGCAGAAAAGTCACACACATGTGCAAGCATTGTCGCTGGCACTTGGTTAGTACACGTTATGCACGATGCGGCCACGTACACACGTACATATACCTGTGTAGATGTATGTATATGCAGATGTATACACACGCACACGTGTATATTCACATACATATACGCGCGATACCACATCCACATGTGTTGATGGTGAATATTACATTACACAGAACTGAATCGACATGTGCGCTGGTGTGCCTGTGCATACCACAGAACACAAACTACATACCCATACCGTCACAGTCGTGTATACATGCATGTGTTCTACACAAGTGTACATCCATGTAAGTACAGATATATCATATATGTAAATGCCGGTGACTTGTATATACGCACGAAGTACGATTAGATACGCGCATCTAGCGATGCTCGTAATTATCTACGTGTTCACGCATGTGCGTGTGTGATTTTATGTGCGCGCAAATGTATAATCACGAATAATCACAAGCCCATATATGCATACATATACACACATATGTACATATATAAATATACATGTAGATGTATGTATATATACATATATATCTATATATGAATATATATAAAAATATGTATATATATCACGCTACGTTGGCCCATACAATTCATGGATCTGAATCACGTATTCCTGTGCGGGCTGAGTAATCATTTGACAGGTGAACTCTGTCCCCCGCGAAAGTGCGGTATGAAGTGGTGGAATATTGCAGTTCTCTGGGAAGCACGCATCGACATGGCAATTGTCCGTCAGACTGTACTGTATGTGCTACACGCAAGGGAAAGGGGAGACGACGACACGGCGACGACCCGGCACGCGCACCCCTTTCTTCCAATGCTGCTGCAGGCCCGCAGCGCATGCTCGAAGATGCACAAAGCTGCAGTCGGATAAATTCACCATCGGCAGCGGCAACGATGGGGCGACGTCGGTACAGAGACGGCGGGATACGTATGCATAGTTTCAGCTCGCTTCGGAGCTGATCGGTTTCGTGCTACCCCCAAGCACTTTGGCCACCCCTGGCGTCAACCTCAAAAACAATTGCGCACAGGAGATCATGAATAGGGCCGAAGTGGACTGACGTATCCCATACATCAACAATGCACTGAATCACATGTAGATGCGAAAATTCGCGATCGGAAACTTTGTTTTGATTTTTACAGCAAGTAGGTGTTCGGCACCGGTGGAATCAGCACCGTCTCCTCCTCTGTGTTCACCAATGTCCTGTCCCCTTTGTTTTTGAAAGGAAATAGTTGTTGTAGTCCATGCTGTTCCAGAACTGCCACCTCCTCTAAATCATGTTGTGCACATAATGGTTACCATGTCCCATCGGGTAATGAAAAGGGATGCCCCATTCGCCAGCTTCTGCAACGTCGTACTCTCTGTGCATCACGGCGTTGGTTCGCCGCAGTATAGCGGATGCCTCTGATGCGGCGGCAACGGATGGTGGTTCTGCTGGCCACAGGTCATCCACTTCATTAGGCGTGAGATCAGCCCGTGCTCTGTGTGTCTTTGGAGCGGCAGGTTGGTTCGAAGGACTGCGAACTCCTTGTGTCCGCACTGAGTGCCGACGGCGGGTCGGGCAGCGCGTAGCGAGCCAGCGGCGGCCCGTCTGGCTGTCGGCGAACGGCACGCCCATCAGCTGCCACGGGCGGCGCGGCCGCCAACGAGGACGCAGCGCCCCGGATGCCAGGTCGTAGGCCGCTGGCCGAAGCAGCGGCTGCCGCCAGCGCGGCAGCCGCTGCCGCCAGTCCAGCTTCGCTCCATGCCGTGGGGGACGTTGCTGGCTTCGCCATCGCTCGGACGCTCCCCGTGCATGCTCCGGCACCGCGCGCGTATTTTCTCGCAAGACGACCCGCGAGGCTCCTCGATGGTCCTCGCCGGGGAAATACACCCTGCGAAATGCTTAAGAAATCATGGGTTAAGAAATTCATAGTCTCAGAACTTGAATAAAAACCCAAAATTTCCATTCAAAGCTTAGGATTTACATTGAAAGGTTAAGAATAATCGAGACTCTGGCCGAAAATTTAAGTTTTCTTAAGCATCGCCTGAGGTGTATGCCAGCCAACGACAGGGGGGGAGGAGGCGGAGGACAAGAGGCGGCGCCGGGAGGGGCGGCCCGCCGAGGCCTCCAGCGGGCCGAGCCCCAGGTCCTGCTGGCTCAGCCTCCCGAGCGCGGCGTCGCCGCCCTGCCTGTCGAAGTAGGCCCGCCCGACCAGCCCCTCCCTGCCCTTCTCCTGTCGGGGGGACGGAAGACTTTCACAGGGGATATGTCCTATGTCGACCCCCGTCACAGGCCTCGGGGGGTTTTCGAGTGGACGGAAAAATGGGAAGCCAGACCCTGGGACATACGACGTTGGGGCGTCCATCCTCGAGAGGGGTGCGTCCGACTAGCCCAGGGTGTATCCCAAGGTTCCCTCGTTTTTCTGGGCGGCCACACTTTTCGGGCGAAGCTCGGGGGTTGGGGGAGAACAGCAGCCTGCGAAGACTGAGAACCAAAATTCCACGAAACAAACGCAACTGGGGAAGCCACAAGGTACCGATACCGCTACTCCAGGACCTCTCCAGGGGTGCGTTCTGACCAAGATCTCGAGGAGAATCCAGCGGTGGCGACGAGGGCCTCCCAGGACGCCCCAGAAGGGGGAAAACGAGGGAAGGGTAGCTGTATGGGTACCTGTCCCTTCTCTTCGGGGAGACGCAAGACTCGGGTTCGGGGGACTCGGGTTGGCGTGACGGGGCCGTCAGAAGAATTACGAGACCCATGTCGAAATCTGACGCGAGCTGCCGCTGCAAACATCCTACGAAAACCATACTGTCAAACTCCAGGACGGGCTCGTCCAAAAAGCGTCGGCAAATCCGAGCTCTGGCGCACTCGAGTCTTGCGTTTCCCTGGGTGGCCTCGTCTCTATCAGAAGGTATAACGACTGAGACCGTCACAGCTGGCCGAGTGCGACCGACTCCGGCTTCTGATTCTTTGCTCGAACATGCCCGAGTGTGACCTCACTGTTTGGTCCGGATCCACTGGGTTTTTCGATATCGGTTACATGTTTGGGCACACGCTCGGTCACATAATAGATCGGTCGCGTGCATTTTCGCTTGATTCCATCGACACTTCGCAGGATGGACCTCGGGAAAAATCCGCAGGATGGACCCACCCCAAAAGGAGCCGATATTGCAACAACCTTCGTCGGCGTTGTCGACCGAAGATTGGACGACTTCAGGTCTTCTGGGAGGTCGCTGCAGCAGGTCCTGGGCGTCTCAGACAGGGAATTGCGTTCCTATGCTGACATGAAAGAAAGGGACCCTGCACTAGACCCTGGGGCTTTCCATGGGACCAGCTCTTCGTCCTGTATCGCCCTTGGAGTGTCCCAAGGCCATTGGAAGGCCCAGGAAGCCCGAAAGCAATGGCCTCGGAACCCGCTGCCCTCAGGACTCCTTCCCAAGCGTCCGACATTGCGCTTTTCTTCCACGCAAGGCCCAAGAACTGCCGACCCAGGGTGTTCTCGTCTCCGATCCATGCCTGATCGAGGAAAACGCCAGGATTGAATACACCCCAGGTTGCAGATATGAGCGACGATCAATAGCGGGTCTTACGCGAGATGACGCATAGCGACCTCACGCGGTAGCTTACAAGGGCCGCCAGCGTGGCACGCTGCACTTGGAAACGAGGGCGCTTGCGCGCGACCTTATGACCTTATGAGAGCAGCTTGCGCGAGAAGATTGACGCAATCGAGCCCGTTTACTCGGGTCGCACATGTGGGTTTCTTTCACGGCGCCTGTGTGCTGACGAGGTGGTGCACTGCGGCCGGATCGCAGGGAGGCGCGGCAGGGATGCAGGGTGCCCCCGACGTCCAAGCTGAAGCCTGAACGCTGTTGGGGATGGGCCGCAGAAGCAAGGCCTTGTTTGCTGTGTTCCACTCGCCATCGCTCGGACGTCCATGTCCTGTGTTTTTTTTCGGTTTCGTGCGTGTTTTTTTCGCCAAATGATCAAGGATGCTCCTCGATGGTCCTCGCCGAAGGAAAAATGCACACAGCGATGCCAGGTCCACCACTAGGCTTTGCCGTGGGTCGAGGGAAGAAGCACGGAGGCCATGACCCAGCCGTCGTGGGATCCTGTCGGTGCCGATCTCCGTCATGGTCCACTTCAGCCGTCGTCGACTCGTGAGGAAGATCCGCGAGATCCCAATGACCGACATCGACGGTGACCAAAAACAGCACGACGCTTCCGCGCTAGATCATAGCCATGGTCCCCGTCTCCGCCCCCTCACTTTGGGTCTCGTGCTTTTGCGCTTTGAGAGAAACCGGTGGGTGCCAGACCCGGTCGCCTAATTAGGTGTCCCCGACGGCGAAAAAGTTTATGTTATACCGTTCGTCGCCCGTTAACATCGAAGCTCTGCCCTCCACCCAGAGAGGGAACACGCTCGGGGAGCCGAGCGAGCGGCCGAGGGGCGGCTCTCCGCATCCCTCCAGCGCGGGGGACGGCCCCGCGGTGCGCGGAGCGCGCACCACGGGGGAGGCCCGCATGCCGCAGGCAGCGCTGCCGCGGAGCAGCGAGGCGTCCCCGTGGGGACGCCGTGCGGCCCGAGCGCGAGGACGGCGCAGCGCTCCCCGTGAGGAGGAGGAGGAGGAGGAGGAGGAGGAGGAGGAGGAGGAGGAGGAGGAGGAGGAGGAGGAGGAGGCCCCGCCATCGCCAGGGCACCGCTCCTGGCCTGGCGCTCCCGGGGGTCCTCCTGGCTCGGGGCGAGGGGGGGGGAGCGCGGAGGGGCTCTCGGGGGGGCCGGACTGCACACGCCCCTCCGCTGGCCATCGCTCGGACGCCCCCTCCCTGTCTCTCTCTCTTTTTCGGTTCCGCGCGTGGCTTCCTCGCCAAACGATCAAGGGTGTTCCTATCGGGGATGGACAGACCCCCCTTTAGTAAAACGTGGTTCAGTGAAAACGACCTGAGGCCCAAACCTGGCGGGCGCAAGCCTGGAAAATAACGGCCACGGCGCCCTCTCGAGAACCGAAAACGGACAATTCACTAATCGACTTGTCACTGTTGGGGGCTCTGTCCACACCCGATCCTAGAGGGTCCTCGCCGAAGGAAAAATGCACACGTCCGAGCGATGCCAAGTCCAGCTCAGGGCCCCCCCCTGGATCACCAGGTCGGGGGTGGGAGCCCTGGCAGGGGGTGGGGGCGGGCTGCGCTGTCCTCACACTCCCTCCTCCCCCCTCCCCCCTCCTCCCTCCTCCCTCCTCCCCTCCCCTCCTCCTCCTCCTCCTCTTCTTCCTCCTCCTCCCTCCTCCTCTCCTCCTCCTCCCTCCTCCTCCTCCCTCCTCCTCCTCCCCCTCCCTCCCTCCCTCCTCCCTCCTCCTCCCTCCCTCCCTCCCTCCCTCCCTCCTCCTCCCTCCCTCCCTCCCTCGATCAGGCCGCATCCGCACGGAGCCCAGATCGGATCGCTCATGCCGCCGAGGACGCACTCTGCAAGTCAGACTTCTGAACAAATGACTGGGGTTCAGAACTTGAAGGGGTCTGTGACCAAGTGAATCTCAGCCGGGGGCGTCGGATGACCCCAGCGTCGACTGGACCCGCACGGGCAGCGTGGTAGCGTTCGATAGCGGATGCAGAACAACGCCACGCGAGCCTCGGGTGGCACCCAACGGCTGGAAGCATCAACATCGGATCGGAGCGAACCCGCGGAAACCGACATCGAATTGGAACGAATCGAAATCCAGTCGATCGGGTCGAAATCAACATCAAATCGAATGGGCAAATCGAAACCGAGATTCAGTCGCATCGATCGGAGCGAAATGGGCCCCGTGTCATTTGCGGCGCCCGATCCTGCTCCAGCACGGGGGCGCCGGTGCGGTCAGTCACCAGGAAGACGTCGACCGCCGCCAGGAACTCGTCCACCTCGGCGCCCGTGGGCGCGGCCTCGGCAAATGCGCCTTGGGCCCGCCGTCATCGCCGTCGTAGTCGTAGTAGTCGTCGTCGTCGTCGTCGTCGTCGTCGTCGTCGTCGTCGTCGTCGTCGTCGTCGTCGTCGTCGTCGTCGTCGTCGTCGTCGTCGTCGTCCTTGTGGTCGTCGTCGTCGTCGTCGATGTCGTCGTCGTTCCCGTCGCCGATGATGTCGATGTCGTCGTCGTCATTCCCGTCGAAGATCGGGCTTCGAAGATCAACGATTGAAGTTCGTGGACTGCAGTCAGCCCGTATTTCGCAAGGATGCGCGGTAAGGATGCACAGGCCTTGGAAGGCCATGTTGACGGTCTTCGAGTGGGGCTGGCCGGCGAAAGCGGCCAAGGATGGGCCGAAGGGCAAGCATGCAAGGGTAACCTTGGCAAAGCGCTCATCCTCACTATGCGGGCTTACTGTATGTGGGCCCTCGTCGGGGACTCCTGCATGTGGGCGTGAAGGTGGGAAGGGTTATGATTTTCCATCGTCCCTAAGGACCACATCCCAAAACAAATTTCGAGCACCCAGAGAACTATCAAATGTCTGCCCGACACGCTAGCGAAATGTCGAACAAGTATGGCCTCCCAAAGACCGACACACGTGACAATCCTCCAATTCGGGTACCTTGCTGGTGCCCGGTTGTCTTTCTGGTCTTTCTGGTATCAAGGCTAAAGAAAGTCGGAACGTCTTAGATGGGTGGGCCACACATTGTGTTAGAGGCAGATCGCTTTGGACGGCCCCTGGACGAGCGTCAAGAATAGAAAAAGATCAGCCTCAAGCTGGTTTCGTTCCCTGACCTCACCTTCGGCGAACCCCTCTTCTGCTAGGGAAGCCCGAGGATGATAAGCAACAGAAGTACCCCTAACCCTCTGGCAGGGGACCTACGTTAGGAGAGGAAACAATAGGGATGGGGAATATTTTCTGCAATTTTAAAACACACCGTATGCCCAGATCTAGGATCCGTCATGCACGGACGGGGGCCCAAGTGAGGCCACGTCTTCACTATGTTACTAGGGTCGGGGGTCCCTTCGTCCTTGATGAAAAGAAACCGACACTCCCCAGACCTCCGCCAGGGTGCGCTCTCATGGGAATCTCGAAGCGACAACGGCCGTGGCAGCAAGGGCCTTCCCCGAGGCCCCTCCAAAAAGGCGACCCCTGTGAAGCCTCTGGAACTCCTACGGATCCTCAGGAACCCTTTGGAACCCATGAGCCCTCAGAAATCCCTCGGAATCCTTACGGATATTTTGGGATCACGTGGATTTCTTAAGAAGCCTTTTGAATACGCTTCTGGATGTCATAGGAACCCTTGAGAATCCATCGCAACCCTTCGCAATCCGTAGGAATCCATCGGAATCATTTGGGAATCCTTTGAAATCATTCGGAATCCAAAGGAATCCTGAGTGATGCCTTGGAGTACAGAGGAATCCCGAATGATCCTTAGGAATCATAAGGAATCCCTTCGGACGTTCCTCAAGGTTCGCCCCATGTTTTTTGTTAATCAAGGAAAGTCACCAAGCGCAAACTGAGTTGGTGGTCTCGGGCTTACAACAACAACGGCTCCTTCCTAAGAGTTCCTCAGAATTTAGCCAGGACCCCCGCTCCCGCCTGACTTCCTCGCATTTTACTCCGGAGCCGCTCTGGGGTCGCTCTCTCGCTGGAGACTTGCTTGCAATGTACTCAAGAATCGCGCTCTTGCGCTGGAATTCCCGGCAATTTACTCAAGCGCCGCGCCCCCGACACTCAGGCACCCAGGACTCGTGCTCACGCTTTGGACTCCCTCACAGCTTACCTAAGAATCGATGTCTCGCTGCCCTTCGTGGCTGCGTTGCAGCCCTCCGCGGCCCCCTCGCTGCCCTTCGTGGCCCCGTGGCAGCCTTTCGTGGCCCCCTCGCTGCCGTTCGTGGCCCCGTTGCAGCCCTTCGTGTCCCCCTCGCTGCCCTTCGCGGCCCCGTTGCGGCCCTTGGTGGCCCCCTCGCTGCCATTCGTGGCCCCGTTGCACCCCTTTTGCGTCCCCCTCGCTGCCCTGCGCGGCCCCGTTGCGGCCCTTCGCGGCCCCCTCGCCGCCCTTCGTTGCAGCCCCTCGTGGCCCCCTGGCTGCCCTTCGTGGCCCCGTCGCAGTCCTCCGTGGCCCCATATACGCACGCCTTCCGCAGGTCCCGCTCGTTCGCGCCCGTCGTGGCCCCGAATGCATGCGCTTCGCGGCCCCCCCGTCGCCCTTCGCGGCCCCCTTCGCTGCCCTTCGTGGCCCCGTCGCCGCCCTCGGTGGCCCCGTCCTCGCCCCTCTGCGGCGGGATATACGCGCGCCCTTCGTGGCCCCCGCTCGTTCGCGCCCGTCGCGGCCCCATGCGCATGCCTTTCGTGGCCCCGCTGTCGCCCGTTCTGGCCCCCTCGCTGCCTCGCTGTCCTACGCGGCCCTGTTGCTATCCTCATTGGCTCCGTCGTTACCCTCTGTGACCCCCCAGTCTCGGCCCTTCGTGGCCCCCGCTCGTTCGCGCCC